CCTCCCCCCCCAAAAAAAACACACCATCATGTTACAAAACCAGCTTGACCACCTAAATCTGTCATAACCTGGTTTTAGCAGCAGGGTTTCCTGTCACGGCTCTCATGCACAGTGTAAACCCATGTTTGCTTAGCGTGTTATAATGATTACAAATGGATTTTCACGAGTGCAAGATTCAGCCGAATTCAAATGCACCCATGTTTTCTCACAGTCTGGATAACAGAAAAGAGCTTGAAAAGCCCAACAAAGCCTCATTTCTCAAATATTTCACAGAGTGAAGCTTAACAGATCTACTCCGACACGAAGAAAAGGCTTTGAAGGCTTAGGCACACAATACAAATTCACAGTGTGACCAGCAAATAGATCAGATCTCTAGGATTTATAACTACGAAGACAACACTGTGGGCCTAATCTAATGAAAACAACTCTGCAAGAAGAATTAAACACTGACTGTGGAATGAAATCACAGTCTGCTCAGGTAACTAATCATGGGTTGTCTCGTATGTCAACCAGCACAATAATTAACAACTCAGATTCCTTGAGTGCTTTGCTGAGAACTTGTGTTGTTGTAAAGAGAGGCCTGATCAACACCGGACACCCAGACACTCACAAATACACGCCTAAGGGAGAAGAGGGGGCCGTGGAAGCCAAAACCAAGCTATATTTAACATCTTCTACATGTGGGCTTCATTTGGGTGAATGGGCCTGCATACCTCCACTGACAAGAACCAGGCAGACCCCAATCCTCCAATCTCTTAACCCTTACGCCCCTGTACCGAGAAAGGCTGAACTCTTTTGACTTGGATCCTTCTATTAATCTGAAGGTCCGACTCTCCTGTCATTCCTTGACTATTAGGAAAATCCATCCATAATGTGACATGGTTTAACTGAAGAGGGGGATGATGATCAGGCGGTCTTGCGTTTGATTCAGAAGGGCTGAGACGTTTGCTGATATGTGGCCATGTGGTTTGAGTCAGTTTTTTATGGTGGCATTGATCACTCAGAGTGCATGAGAGTCGTGAGCTTGATCTGTTTCTCTCTGTTCTGTTTTATCTGTGTTCCAGACCCGAGGTCTTGAATCTTTTCTCCAGCCCCTCCACACCTCTGCTCCGCTCCAGATGTCTGTAGCACACACATGGACTCATAACACAATTATGATACTATACAGGCCCTGACACCCAAACAATGATCCAGGGCTTTCAAAATGCAATTACATATATGTTTAACAGTGTTAAAGCCATAAGGTCATAAATATCTGGGTGTTGCAAGTGTCCTGATATCATAAAAACGTATTAAAATTGTACAATTCTTGAAAAAAAAAAAAATTGTAAACTGTTTAACTAAATCTTTTATCATTATCAAAATTGATACAGCAGTTAAATATAATTTAAAAAAAATTGAGTCAAGGTCATGTGGTACAATCAACAGTCATGTGATTCATGATATCTATGAATTAACAATTCAAGATTTGTAAAATTTATTTTACTTTGAAAACTAAGGAAAACATAACTTAAATTAAAATAAAAATGTTATAACCTTTTTTTATCTGAAGGTTACACCACATTACATTTTTACACTACATACATTAAATTAAATTTTGGTTGAAAATGGCATTAATATATATATTTTTTAACCATATGAAACTACACATTTAAGATTTGCTTTTGTTTATTGATACTCTTACATGTCAGTGACCTCATCAATTATATTAACAGTCCATAAAATCTGGAGGAAATTCTTACTTAATTATTACAGAAAGGAACCTCTTATGAATGTGAATACAATAAAACTAATTTTTATGCATATATCCATCCATATATACATCATCTATGTCAATTAATTGCACTTATTATTTTGATTCCTTATCAAGGAATTAAAAACAAACAAATAAATAAATGAATAAAGATCACTTTAAAAGAACTACTCATTAAACCAAGAATTTAATAACAGCTCTAATATTTCCCATGTAGAAAACAGGCCACAACAGCTTAATTCACACACAAGCCACAAAAACCAAACAAGTTTTAACTAACACACATACTTTCTCACTAGTTCAAATACACCCACAAAAATACAGATGACTAACCACACACACACACACACTTCTGAGCTAAAAGAAAAAGAAGGCTAAAGACAGTTATTGCAGAAGCCCAAACACCTTCCTCGGAGTGTGTGTGAGCGAGAGCACACGGATAGAACATTCCTGGCATAAAACATTAGTGAAAATAATGTCATAGAGGGGAAACTGGTGAGAGTCCAAGGCTTTTGGCCACCAAAGCGAAAGACAGCAACAGTTGTGCACATTCACACACCTGTACTCAACATGCTCATGTGACTGTTATCTAACGTGCTGAGCTCACCGTTCTGCTCTGAAGTGGGTCACTATCAGGACCATCAGTTTCAACAGAAGTTCTCTTCCACTAGATGTTCTTCTTCATAACAGTGCAAATCAAGACTAAGCTTACAACAACTTTCCTATCACATCAATCTAAACAGCAGATGGTGAGGATAATCATGAATTCACACTTAATGGTGAACATTTTTGACAGGAAGTACTGAAAGACCCCTCTGTGTTTTGATACGGTAAACACTTTGCATGTGAATTAGAGTAACAACAACTCCACTAAGCTGTTGAACATTAAGCAGGTGTTGATTTGTAAACATGGGCGACCACAAGTTAATGTACTCATGCAGGACCATTTATGAACGACCCATTTATGTAGCATAATTTTTATTAATAGATTCGGAATGGACCTAGTCTACATAGAAGGTCATGCTCTTATTTAAAAAAAAAAAAAATCATCCATTCCACAGTAGCCTTGCTGTCTACTATCTACTATAAGGCATCCTAACTGGAACACACTACATAGGCAGTAACCCATGGGACTTGAATCACAATTGTTTTAAAGAGAGTATAGCATTAGCATGTTGCTAAGCTAACAGCAAAATACTCAAATTTTCTTAAAAATACACAAATTAGGTACAAAGTCCATTTTTATGACTGTCTAGGAACTATTTTATAAACAAATCTTGTTTTTGAAGGAATTGCAACTATTTATAAGCTACAACCTTTTTGACTCGTCGGCCATCTTGGAAGGAAAATGAGAGAAACAAACTGCCTACTTTTTAGAAAAGAAACCAAAAACTCATTGCACCTTCAAAAAAGTCTGAAATGAGGTGTGTAGACCAAAAAAAATGCAAATGCAAAAAGAGGCCCTTAAAAATGCAAACGTTTGCACTTTTTTGCCTTTTTTTCAGTAAAGCAGTGGCTTTTTTTATCTTGCGTTTGGTTTTCTTTGTCTAACAGATTGTGTGGGCCAACTTTTTAGAAAACCCTTTTGTTCGGGAATGCGCCTATGAAGGCAGCTCACGAGGTTTTGCAACAGAGCCTTCATGTTATTTTATAGCTTTACCTGAAAACTGATGAAATTGCAAAATGTATTCATCATACAATGAAATTTCAAATGGTGTCAGTCATGTATGTAGCATGCAAAGTCAGGAGCTGTGGTATCAGAAGCAGCAGTGGGAGCAAGACTTCTCCACCATTATTTTGATTCCAAAACAAACACCATCCTGCTATTGTTTCTTTCATCCGAATAGATCTATTGCTCCCCAGCTGGAGGAACACGGTGTTCTGTGACACACAAACGGGAGCGGAAAGGATTACTCCTGGCTCTGGGATCACAACCGTGACCTATCCTTCACTCTGTGTGTGTGTGTGTGTGTGTGTGTGTGTGTGAGACATGTCTATGTTTGGATGCCTCTACAGGTACTTGTAGAATGTGTTCCAAAAATATTGTTTCTCCACTGTCTAAACAATGAAAAAAATGTGTAAACAGGAACAGCAACAGTAGCTGCATGTCTCAAGCATTACAAATTGTAAAAGAAGAAAAAATGTGGAGGCAGTGGAAAAAATCTATTGCAGGAATGGATGCGCTGAGTTGACGGATAGAAAGACATGCAAAGGGAGTGGCCTGTGAGACTAGAGGGCTGAGAAATAGTCAGCTGAATAAAATCAAAATTTGTGTTTTAGCTGGGGAAGTCGTGGCCTAATGGTTAGAGAGTCGGACTCGTAACCCAAAGGTTGTGGGTTCGAGACTCGTACCGGCAGGGATTGTAGGTGGGGGGAGTGAATGTACAGTGCTCTCTTCCACCTTTAATACCACGACTGAGGTGCCCTTGAGCAAGGCACCGAACCCCCAACTGCTCCCCGGGCGCTGACCACTGCTGCCCACTGCTCCGGGTGTGTGTTTACTGCTGTGTGTGTGCACTAAGGATGGGTTAAATGCAGAGCACTAATTCCTAGTATGGGTAACCATACTTGGCCACATGTCACTTCACTTTCAGTGAAGCTCATCTTTTGGTCAGCATTGCACTTAAAGGCGATCTAAATGTGTATACCTACCTGATGATTAAGGGCATAAAGGGAGCTAATCCCAGAGGAGATGATGAACCATCCATAGGAGACGGGTAGAGACGACCCAAAACCAACAGCAACAAGAAAAGACTGGGGTGCAGCTTCACCTGCCCAGAATCACTGAAAGAGAGAGAAAGAGAAATGTGTTACATTTACTTACCTAAAATATGTGACTTATGTAACTACCTTAACTAACAAGTTAACTTCCTTAACTTATGTAATAATGTAACCAACTAAGGTGAACTACTAAATTAACAAAACTTAAGCTACTAACATGACTAACACAAATAACGGTTGGCTTTGCTAACAGAACATAACTTCCTTAAACTAGCAAAGCTTCATTCACTCACTAACCTACTGTATATTACTAACTGAACTAACCTAACTAACTTACCTGTATGTGGCTTCATAAATGTCTCTAACTCCAACTAGAATAACTTCCTCCACTTACTAATGTAAGAAACTAACTGAACTAACCTGGCTTACAGTACCTACACGTAAGTTCCTAACTTCTCTAATTACTAAACTACCATAGCTTCCTTCTCTTACTAACACACATAACTAACAGAAATAAGCCATATGTATGTGACTTAATAACTTCTTAACTTACTTAACTTGTATAACACATTTAGCTAAAATAACTTCCTCTACATACTAATGTAACTAAACCAAAACTAACTTATCTAGATGCATTTTCATAACTTCTCTAATTACTAAATTGGCAAAACTTTCTTCACCAACATATAAAACAAAATTAACTAACCCAACTAACTTGTATGTGACTTTATAACTTCTCTTACTTATTTTACTAGCATAGCTTCCTCCTCTTACTGATGTAACTAACTGAACTAACCTGCATGACTATCATTTTTCTAACTTAATTTGCGTAACTTCCATCACTTACTAACATACAGAACTAACACAATTAACCTAACTTACCTGTATGTGACTTCAGAACTTTTCTAATGTAACTAGCATAACTTCCTTCACGTACTAACATATATACAGTGGGTACGGAAAGTATTCAGACCCCCTTAAATTTTTCACTCTTTGTTATATTGCAGCCATTTGCTAAAATCATTTAAGTTAATTTTTAGGTTAATTGAGTTATTTATATGTGACTTCATAACTTCTCCAACCGACTTATTTAACTAGTATAGCTTACTTTAATAACACAACTTTCTCCAGATTCAAATATAATTTACTAACTGAACTAATTTAACTCATCTATATGTGATTTCGTAACTTCTTTAATGATTAAACGCCCTTCACTTACTGACATTCAACAGTACTAACCTAACCAACTCACCTGTTAGTGACGTCATAACGTCTTTAACTTATTTAACTTGTATAATACAGTTAGCTAACATAACTTCATCTACATACCAATGTAACTAATGGAACTAACCTAACTTATCTAGATGTGTTTTCATAACTTCTCTAATTACTAAACTGGGATAACGTCTTTCACTTACTAACATATATACCAAAATTAACTAACCCAACTAACTTACCCGAATGTGACTTTATAAATTATCTTACTTAATTTACTAGCATAGCTTCATCCACTTACTAACCTAACTAACTGAACTAACCTGTGTAACTTTATCATTTGTCTAACTTAACTTGCGTAACTTCCATCACTTACTAATATACATAACTAATCGAATTAACCTAACTTACCTGTATGTGACTTTAAAAATTATCTTACTTATTTTACTAGCATAGCTTCCTCCACTTACTAATGTAACTACCTGAACAAACCTGTGTGACTTCTTCATTTGTCTAACTTAACTAGCATAACTTTCTTCACATACTAACATATATAAATAACTGAACTAATCTAATTTACCTATATGTGACTTCATAACTTCTCCAACTAACTTATTTAACTAGTATAGCTCATCATGGCTTTCTCCATATACAAATATAAGTTACTAACTGAACTAATCTAACTCATCTATACGTGATATCATAACTTCTTCAATGATTAAACACTCTTCAATTACTGACATACAACAGTACTAACCTAACCAACTTACCCGTATGCGACTTCTCGAATTACTAAACTAGCATTTACTAAACTGCACTTACTAAGATACATAATGTATCTTACCTGTATATTATATCTGATGTTTTAGCTGAGGTTTCAGAATTAGCAACCAGCCATTCCAAACACATACAGCTACTAAGAGTTTCAATGACAAGATGAGCACATGTACACATGGTCACCATTACTAACCCAATGGCCCTTCACTTCCTTTCGCTTTTACTACATTTCTGCAAATGTTTATCTGACAGTCCAGTGGAAACTCAAGACTTAAGCCAGAGCAAACACATGAAAAAAAAAAAAAAAAAAAAAAAACAAAAAAAAAAACAAAAAAAAAAAAACTATAAACAAATAATTAAATCAAATCAGAAACCAAATAAAATGAAA